CCGATGGTATGTATATTTTGAAAGTAACAACCCTAACCCTTGATATGTTATTCTCACAAAAATATTCCACAAAGGAGGTGTCCTTTTCTCGAAGGTTATTTCTTTAAATAGATTTCTACTGGCAGTTTTAAATCTTTAATTTTTACAGATTTTACATCTATATATATATATATATATATATATATATATATATATATATATATATATATATATATATATATATATATATATAAAACAAAGTCGGGTTTGTTACAACACTTTTAACTCGAGAACGGCTGGGCCGATTTTGATCATTGTTTTGTTGGATATGTCTTCACCCCGAATAGCAGAATAACTATTAAAACATCGGAAAAATTCACCAAAAAAAAATTCTAGAAAAATCTATTCCATACTAAGCGTCAAAACGTACTTAGGGATGCACCTGAACAAAGCGAGGCCGAGTCGCTAGTTTATATTAAAGGTCAGTATGTAAATCTACGAGGAATTTACCATCGACTCCGAAAGCACTTCTGCTGAGTGCTGAAAAGAGCTCAAGAGTCAATAGTGGCTCTTCAAAAGAAAATATTTGTTTACACTTTACATAATTGTAATACAATAATAACTACTTAATCTAATATAACAGTACCTATTTATCTATACATTATGATAAAATTCTAACTGAGCTGAATCTGTATATTAAATATTTTTTGGAAAATTTTATTGAAATAGTCGTTATTATCGATACAGAGGCCGAATCTATAGTTTTTAGAATTTTGTCTGTCTGTCTTTCTGTTTGTCTGTCTTTATGTTGGTATGTATGTCTGAGAAACCCACTGGAAAGATTTTGATGAAATTTGATATGATGATAGCTGGTTATCCAGGTCAACATATTTTTCACTGCGGGAAAATATCACATCTATGAGATATGTATACTAAACGTTAAATCGTAATTTTAACATAAATATAACGTGTCTCAAAATGTCCGAGAGCCCCCCAAACCTATATGATGGGAATGACGGCAACAATAAGCCAAAGTAGCTTATAGAGATTGCAGAGGCCAGAGCTTAAAACTTTGTCCTCTTGGAATACCCTGCAAGGCTAAATGAAAGTTTGTGAGATATAACTCAATTTCATTATAACCTATGGCACCTAAATCTAAGGACGAAAACGGTTTCTCTACTCATTCAAAAATTAATATTATAAATAAAAACTACACTGCGAAAACCGTTATTATTTACCGCATTTCGCTCTAAATTCGAATAGAATGGAATAAGCACTAATTGTATCTGGAAGCTTCCGTATGACGTCACTTCACTGTTGAAAGTGGACTCAAAATGACACATTGTAAATAAAACTATCTTTTCAGATATTTTCGCGAATTTATTTTCATTTTTGGTTCCCGACGTTTTAAATGCTTTACAGCAATCATGGTCACGGGAGAGACTCTCCCTAAAAAGATGATGTTCTCCTAGCCGATTCCGGCCACTGCGGCCAATCTCATTAAGACTAGCCAACTGCGCAGGAGATATTATAGTGCACAAGTGTACGTGCAGACACAACTTGCACTCTCTATTCCTATCAATCTTATATTCCGGTGGGACGACTGCTCGACACGACCGGTGAGAGAAAGACTCAATAATTAAACTTGGCCCGACCCGGGACTCGAACCCAGGACCTCCGGGTGTGCAGCCGTATATGCTAGCCACTACACCACCGAAGCAGTTCAAAGAACCTAAAAAGATAGTTTTATTTAGTCAGGAAAAGATAATTTTATTTAAAATATCAAATATTCGCGTAAATCTATGAAAGTATTACCCATTGTACTATTTCAATAATCTTATTTATTCCAGTAGATAGAAATAACAATATGTACTACAATTTTTATCTATATTATGTGCCAATAAATAAGTCCATGTAGAAGCCATTCATTACGTAAGTATTTCAGTAAGATAAATATTGTAAAAAATAATAATATCTAGGAATTGTGATAACTTTCAGACTAATTTAATGAGCATGCTCTTCCTACTTTACTTCAGGCCAATAACCTACATTTACTATGTAATACTTTCTTAGATATATGCGATTACCTTTTCAAGCTTAATCCGCTGAACCGATTTAGACGAAATTTAGTATGGAGATAGTTTGAGACCCTGAAAAGGACATAGGATAATTTTCATCCCTTAAGGGGGTGAAAAGGGGGATTTGTTTGGAAAATCAATCATTTCTCAAGTAATGGATATATTTTTTTCATTTTATAAAAAAATACTTATATTCTTTTTCATACCTATGCATGTACATATATTATACAGTCTATTCAATACCAACCGTTAATATAGGTACCAACCGTTGTTATAAACAGTTCGTGCTGAGGGCTTACGTATAATCGGCTTCAAATATCTGCGACAGTGCATTTTTATCGGTGATAGAGTCAGGTTATGTAATATTTGCGTGTATTGTCAAGTATCTACTCATTTACGTTTTGATGTCCTTGTTGTTATTGATAAAAAATATATATAAATATATTTGTTTATATGTTTGTTCGTTTGTTTTTTTTTATTAGAAAGCAATGACGTGACCTGTCTCTAGTCTCTACATAGAGCAGTGTTGTGTCATCGGAGTGCAGTAGATTATTTTAAGTGTTTGTTAAGTGTTGTACAATAAATAATTTATGTATTTTTACGTTATGATTAAACATACAAAAATTATGTAAGAAAGAGATAATATAATTTTCTACAATATATTTTTCGTAACTTGACCTAATAATTACCACACAAATTAGTAAAAAACTAAATTTCTGATGAAATTTTGGTCGACATTAAAATTAGAAAAAAATCCATACCATCCATTCCAATGAGCATGCGCAGTGCGCTGTGCCTCGCTTGTGTTAGTTGCATACTTTCGAAACACAAATATAATAAATAACTAAAGTTTAGTTAGTGTTATAAATAAAACTATCTTTTATGATTTTTTCGCGGATTCATTTTCATTTTTGGTTCCCGACGTTTCGAATGCCTTACAGCAATCATGGTCACGGGAGAGAATGAAAAGATAGAAAAAATCGGAAAAGATAATTAATTTTATACAAAATGTCAAATATTCGCGTAAATCTAAGAAAGTATTCAGTTAGTGTTTGAAATTTAACTACAATCTTGAAAATTAAATGATGACGTACGTAAATAGAACTTACCCATCTATATAAAAAAAACTATTTCTATTTTTTTTAATTGATAACTAAAGCTAAGCTATATAAAAAATCTGTGACCATAATTTTTTTCTTGATAATACTAAAATTTGTCAAAACAGAGGAGAAGAAGGTACTAAACGTTTCGTCTTTGTCTATTTATATATAGACTAGTGACTTACCCTGGCTTCGCTCGAGTGCGTCCCTAGGTACGTTTTAAATATATATGATTAGCTATTGCGAGTGTACATTAGCAGAAAGACTTATGCTATTGCAGATTTTTCTACAAACCTTATTAAGACCTACAATTTTCTAGTACATTGTTTTGATTTACATATCTCTTAAGGTTTAGCCAGCGTTAGCTTTCTAAGCTTTCTTTATATTTCCGTGGGAATGAAAGACTTTCCTGTAGTAAAAGGTATCCTAAATGTTGACCCGAGTAATAAATTATCACTACACAAAATTTAGGTAAAGTCGGTTCAGTACTTTTTGCGTGGAAACGCGCACATCGATTTCACTAAGTTACAGTGTTATTATATGTATGTATATTGTATAGATAACATAACTATGTGCCATTACATCTAGTGGGTAATATTGGGGAGTAGGTTCGCCGTTCGATTATTTGAAGTAGCATACATTTGTATGAGCCATGTAAAGATTTAGTCGACTGGAATCACATACAATAGGTGTATCATTTTTGTTATGAATACATTAGTCATATCGTATCTTGCATTAAGCCATTAATGGTGCCAATCTCTGAAATTGCGATAATCACATTAATATGACAAATAGGAGAATTTTTATGTATGTAAGTTTGTTTCACTTTCACGCTAAAACGGCTGGACGAATTTGGGTGAAATTTGGTACACAAGTAGATACTTGGAGTAATGCATAGACTACTGTTATTATTTACCCCTAGGGACACACCCGAGCGAAACAAAGGTAGGTCGCTAGTCTTTTCATAGTATAAAATAAAAACTTTTTAACAAAAAAAATAAAAACCGAATTCAAACAAAAGCACTAAAAAGTAAAAAATAACTGATTGGTCGTTTTCATTTACTATACATACCTAATCAAATATTTTCGAAGTCGGTGTGCAAAAAGTTTAGACATGCCCTAATTATATAAAATACCACATATTATATAATACGAAAATACTTAACTATTAAAAATAAAACAACATTATAACTAAAAATTTGCATTGCAGCACTCTCGGTATTCAGAATTAAAATATTCCGAAATTACTTTCTATTTTTAAATTATCTTAGTACTGAGTTAGAACACTGTTCTTTGCAAGTAGATTCGAGATATTTAACAAGAGCAGCATCAGCTTAAACTTTAAAGGAGATAAATTAACGTATTAAATGGCTACCGCGCAATACAAGTCAGTTTCCCAATCGATCAGGGAGCATTTCAAAGAATACTATATTAAAAAGTCGCATATGTGTATATGTGTATGATTGTCACTTTCTCACGCTAAAACGGTTTGACCGATTGTGATGTAATTTAGAATACAGATAGATCATAACCTGGAGTAACATAAGCTCTTATGCAATTAGGGATGCACGTACGCGAAGTATTATCATTAGTACAGTTATATAAAATCTTTAATTCTGTATATATTCTCAGTTAAATAGAGACTGGCATTGGGAGTGCTGGTAATGAACTTGTTATGCGCAAGGCTTGGCAGAGCGCCATCACTCGCCATTGAATTGCAGAAAATTATCGATTTACCAATATCAATCGATAAAGCACTCGTAAATATGATGTAACGTGATATATTGTGTGATTATGTATTGCGAAAGTGAGGGTCGAAGCATGTGTACGTTGGTTTGAGAAAATGTCAAAAGGATCATGGATTACACCGTTCAAAAAACAAGTGAGTGGTTTTTTTTAGTAAAACTATATATAGTGCAATTTTTAATTTATTCATGTATAAATTATCTCGGTTTTTCTTACATTGTTATTTATATTTAATAGTCTTAGCTAATGGTTGCATTTCAATTTGTATGCGCGTTTATTTTTATTTAGTATTCAGGCCTTGGTTTGTATAGGGACACTCAAAGATTACTTGGAAAAGAAACTTATCAAAATGAAAGTATCTAAGACATATTATATGTAGGTATTATATATTATAATAATATATGTCTAATATATTTAAACGAGCAATTCTTGTATATTTATTTATTTATACCGGCAATCTCGGGAACGGCTCTAACGACTTCGCTGAAATTTGGTAGGTATGTGGCGGTTTTCGGGGGCGAAAAATCGATCTAGATTAGTCTTATGTCTGGGAAAATGCGTGTTTTCATGCGGTTTTCTTTTACGTTATTCCACGCAAAATATGGTCTCTAATTTCGCACGCTCGGGCATAAACATCTCGGTCAAGCGGTCAAGGCGCAAGATTGAGAATTATAGGTGTCCAGGTTCGAATCCCGGTCGGATACAGTGTTTCACTTTTGTTTTTTTTTGTATTTATTCAAGTTTTTAATTTCTTTTTTTAAAGAAAATTGTATTTTACGCGAAAAACTCCGAGCAAAGCTCGATTGCCCAGGTAGGTACTTTAAATTAAATTTAAGTATGTAAGGCCGTGAGGAAGCTACCTCCGGCAAATGTAGGTATGGAATTTTATTTTTATATAGTTTTTCTAAGCCATGTGCGCACACAGTCAAAATGTTGATATATACCTACTACTTTGTTTACCAGTCTCGCTATCGCATCGACTATTTTGTATTTTCATATAATAAAACAGTAACAAAACGGAAACTTTCCATGATTTTTTTTAAAAACAATGCCTGTTACGTATTGACTACAGAATGTAGTTCAAAACACAAAACTATAGCTATTGAAATTTTTGTCTGTTTGTATGTCTGTCTGCATATCATTTTACCTTTCACTCAAAAAGTACTGAAACGAATGCAAGTCGCTTGTATTGAATAAACTAGCTAGTGGCTAGTTCTCTTCTATTTAACGTACGTAATATTCACTAAAACCTAGACAAAACTTAATGCTTTAGTTTACAATAGCTTATATCAAATCGCAGGCTAAAAATTGTTATATTCGGTACATTGTACGTGTATTCAGCCCTTTTTTAACGTCGAACTGCTGAGCACGGGCCTCCCTCCAGTACGAGGGGGATCAGGCCATAGTCCACCACGCTGGCCAAGTGGACTTGGTGGACTTCACATGTCTTTCAAAAACTTACTAGCTTCTCTCAGACATGCAGGTTTCCTCACGAAGTTTCCGTAAGGCAAGTGGTAATCTTGTTAGAAATGATTCGCACATGAAAATATCAGAGGTGCGAGACCCGGGATTTGGACCCGCTTCACTCGGTTTCCCAAGCGAGCGCGTTACCACTGGGTTACCTACCACTGCCTGTTCAGCACTCTCTGCTCAACTCTCAGACTGCTCTGCTCAGAGTATATAATAAAAATTAACATGTTTTCAGTAACTTGATTGTTTATTTACTTACACAAACTTACAACTTTCCTGAGATACAAATTATTTAAATTTTTAATAGATCATATTAAAAATACCTATTTTGCGTCACATACGTTGTTTTGAACAGTACCTAATTGTTCTAAAATCATCTGAATGGGTAGTGTTTCTGTGCCAAATTTATTTTGGCCTTCACTCTTACATAAATTTAAGTACACGTGATAATTTGGTGGCTTATATCTTACTAATATTATGAATGTGAAAGTTTAGTTGTTTTGTTGTTTCGATGTTATTTACTTAATCACGCCAGAACGGCTAAATGGATCTGGACGCAATTTGGCACGTAACGTCAAAAGCGTGCTCTTTTAATTGTTAACCTCCGACGCAAAAAGAGTGGTAATAAGTTTGATGTATGTATCTGTGTGTCTGTCAGTGATATCGTAGCGACCAAATAGATGGACAGATGTTAATTTAGTCTTATTTGTTTAAAAGGTGACCTGTATTCATTGTAAATGTAATATATAACCAATAAATAAAACATATCTCATAGAAATCATTTTTCTATACGTTACTACTTACTTGAAGAATGTTATGTTCAGATTTCTTATATGTGGGCAAAACATTTTCAACGAGTGTTCTCTTAAATTTTATAAACGGCAATAATTTTCTCTTTCGATCTTCTCGTTTGTTTTCCTACAGAAAAAACAATAAATATAATCAAAAAATACTTATAAGTATTGAAAAACAGACCAATCGCTTAGTATCAGAAATTCAAACACATTTTACATACCATTTTTATGATACTTTATATCTTTAGCCCAAAACCCTTCAAATGTTACATTGTGAATAATACGAGTTGACCTAAACTTTTATTTTATATTAAATAAAGTAGGGCAAGATTGTAGGTTACCTATAAGTCGATAACAAATAAGGCTATCTTATACTTTAACATTATTTTTCTAGACACTTGATAACGCCAATTTCTATTGATCATATCATGATACCTATACCATACTATAAGATCTCGCTTATCGACGATCGCCACAATATCGGAACAATAGTTTTATCTATAATACCTTGGATAAAATGTAAACAAACTATTTATCGTAATATGTGAGAAATTTTGAATAGCCTATACATATAATGTATGTATATTATTTAAAACGTGCTTATCATATGCTAAAAAAAGTTAAAGTTAAAAAAATATGTAAGGTAATGGGTGAAATTTTCATTTTGTTATATTGTGGGTAGGCTGTCTGTAACAACTATACCTTCGAGACATCTAACACCTATATATTATTTAAAACGTGCACATCATATGCTAAAAAAGTTAAAAATATTTATATGAATATACTTACCTACCTACTTACGCGTTTAAGTCCTTATTGTTTTCCTATAATGGCATACCTAACTCTGACTCGAAACTCTATCAGCGATATCTCGTATTGCTTATACGCTAAAGAGACTCTGGAATTAAATATCCTCTGGCTAGATTTAGACCCACGAACGCTAGGTATTTTTCATTCCTATAAAGTCTGAAGATTAGTCAACCAAACATCGAAGATCACAATTTTACATTAAAAATGTATAATTTCATACTGTTAGCCTATAAATTTTCATTTAAATATTTTTACCTCAGTATTGTTCTACCTTTATGAAAGCCATAGCACTATTCAATCTTGACTAAATAATTAATTTATAAAATATTATTATTTCCAGTGTTTCGTAACTTTGGGAGTGTCGCTGAACATGGCCGCCCACGGGCTGGTGATGGGTTTCGCTGCGATCCTGTTGCCACAGCTGCGTCTGCCCGGCTCTCTTATACCGATAGATGACGCTTCCGGATCTTGGATTGGTCAGTAATATTATTAATTTTGACATATATCTTAAATACCTTGTTTATATACCTAGTTGTATTATATATTTTTTAAATTACTTTCTAAAACATGAGCCTAATGTTGACATAAATACGTATTAAAAAACAATTGTTTAATAAATCCTCATTATTACCATTACTTTTAGCTTCAATCCTGGGATTTGCCCTAGTAGCCGGTAACTTCATAGTGCCAACAATAATGGCAAAGTATGGCCGGAGAACTGCTAACCTCGCCAGCATAGCACCTATGATAGTCGGCTGGTTCTGCATTCTCACTGCCTCAAGTATTACAGCTCTACTTATCGCCAGGTTTCTCCAAGGTCTGGCTATGGGTATGAGTGCATCTCTAGGTCCAGTTCTCATCGGAGAGTACACCAGCCCAAAAAACCGAGGTGCCTTCTTAACCTCTATATCTTTGTCCATTGCCACAGGAGTACTCTTCGTGCACAGTCTTGGATCTTATTACTCATGGCAAATCACAGCTTTAATATTAGCATTTGTAGTTTTCGGTGACTTGATAATTGTGATATTTTCTCCTGAATCGCCCAGTTGGCTGGCTGACCAAGGAAGGTATGATGAATGCAGGAAAGTTTTTAGATGGCTAAGAGGTGATGGTGAAGATGAAGAATTGGAGAGAATGATTGAAGGGAGCAAAATCGTTAGAGAAGCGAAAACAGTGGCTGATATTTCGGAATCTTTCTCTAAAAAGTTGAAGAATAACATAGCATACATGAGCACAACTATCCGGAAAAGGGAGTTTTATAAGCCGATCTTTATTATGATCCACATTTACACATTGGGTCAATGGGCTGGTGCGAACATTTTAGCAGCGTACACACGAGACATATTTTCAAACGTGATCGGATCAGAGGCTAACATATCGCTCATGATCATTACTTTGGATATCCAAAGAATAATATCAAATACCTTAGCAGTGTATGTTATCAAGAAGATTAAACGTCGTACGATGTTATTTGCTACTGTTGGGATAAACCTCTTCGCATTTTTGGCCACAGCTGCCTACACTTATTGTAGAGCACATAGCATGTTGTCTTTCGATCATCCAGGAATTGGTATCGCGTTGATCCACCTTCACATGTTTTCGATAGCAACTGGTACAGTCCCATTACCCTTTATAATCGCTGGGGAATTGTTTCCATTGGAGTACAGGAGCTTAGCTGGTGGACTGAGCGTCCTGTTTCTATCGTCCAATCTCTTCATTACGGTGAAGACTGTTCCTGTTTTATTTAAAACCATTGGGATTCATGGGGCTTATATCCTATACGCAGCGGTTGTGGGCTACTGTTTAGTAATTGCTTGGTGGTTTTTACCAGAAACCAAAGATAGAACCTTACAAGAGATAGAGGAAGAGTTCCGTGGTAGACCCCTGTCTCCTGAAGAGTTGAAATCTACACAGTCCTTGACTTCATTTACGCATTTCAACAAAGATAGACGGTGTAGCGGTCCTGTAGTATGAAAGGATATACGGATAGTTATTTTAAAAAGAATCAAATCGAATTTTGTGACAAGACTAAGGATAGTAATAAGTTTAGATTGAGAACTTCGTTTATGTAATGTAATAATATACAACTTATTTATAATTTTATAATTTATATTTTTTTAATCTAAATTAAAATATAAGACAATATTTATTTTGTTATGCGACAGTTTGTGAATGAATAAAATAATTAAGTAGGTAATTTATAGCGATGATTAAACATAACCCCGACATCTATACAGATAAATAAAATTGAAATGTCTGTTTGTGATAATAATAACACATTTTACTAAATGCAAATGAAAGTATATACGGTACTAATAAGAAAAACACATTTTTTTTGTTTGTCCGTTCCGGCTAATCTCCGAAACGGCTGGACCGATTTTAGCGGGAAAATTTAAAACTCACGAAATTATGAACCAAATCCGCGTACCTAAAGAGTAGAGACGCACCCGAGCGAATCCAGAGTAAGTCGCTCATGACAAATAAATTTAAAACACCTGATTTTACAGGATAGAAATAAGAAATTTATTTTCAACCATAGTTTATACATACAACTATAATTTTTATTTCGCTTGTTTTATGTATTTAGTGTAAATTATATCTAAAAGAAGAGTAAAGTTACCCAAAAGCTAAAGAGAGTGACGCAGTAATCTTAATTATTATTGTAAAAACTGTACAGATAATATCTTAAAAATAATATAAGAGTTGTAAATAAGTAAAATATAGATAAGATATTATACAATATGTCATTATCTTTTATTGCAAGTGACCTTGGATTTTGTACTAAGTATGTAGACTAAACTATACATTAAATAAAAAAACGTGTGTGTATACGCACGTAAGAAGTTATACATCTTTAGCGTAAGAGAAAAAAATTGCAAAAAATTTCATCTCGTATGTCACAACTCTGTTTGTAAAAGGAATAATAAATTAATAAAAATAATTAAATAAAGCATATTAGGCATATTCCAATCAAATATTTATAGAATATCATTTAAGGAAAGAATATAATAATATAAGGATAAATCCACTATTTTGATATTCGATAACTAATCTGTAACTACATCAAGCTGTCAAGTCTTTGGCAGGTTGACTTTACTTTTTCTCGAGCTGGTGCACTATACGAATCGGTGTATCACTGGATAGTTTTTGTAGAAATGTATTGACAAACCAGAAATTAATACAAATGTTTAAAACTAAATTATTAATTGTCAGATTTATGTAAATAAGTTTCTACTATTGTTCTTTCGTGTTTATAATATTATATATCATTTGTCAGACAATAACAACGGTTACCATGGCAACAAACAGTTATCAGCTAACTTCATCATGTCGCCTTTAATCTCAACGTAAAAAATTTCCTCTCCTAATTTTTTCCAAACGTCCCTAAAGAAGTATAACTTTAAAAAATAATTTAAAATTAAAAAAAAACGACAGCGTAAAATGCGAACTATGTAAGATGAGAACAAATTGACAGAGGAACAGGATCATGCAGACATATGTACCTACATGTTTTTACTAGCTGAGTCTTCCTAGGTGTATATAATACTATTATATATATACCCATATTGGGTATATATGCTATATGACAATCGCATTGTCAAGACGAATCTAACGACGTATGATTATTGACTTATCAAAATCGGTTAAGCCTTTTACTAATTACGAGGGAACATAGGATTGGACATACATACAAACAGGTCAAACATTCCTTTGGGCTTCGCCGCATTCGGGTAAAAAATACACTATTAACTTTATTGTACAGTATTTGTCGTAATAAATCATTTGAGCCTAATTCAGAATATTTTGACAGTAGCCTTGGAAGTTCTTTTGGCTCCATTATCAAATAAACTTGGTGTTATCATTTTCAATAGATTATAGATATTATATTGTCAACTCACCCGGTTTCTTGTATAGTTTTAAATAAATGTAGTAGATAAAAATCGACCTTCCAAGATTTGATAACCATCAAGATATTATAACTAAGCGCGTCATTTTTTTTTTGAACAATTATTCATCATTGTTTCTGCTGCGTAATTACCTTTTGGATGATTATAAAAAATTACCTAAGTGCGGAAAAAAGTCGTACAAGTAGAAAAAAAGTAGTGGTTACACGTTATGGCTGATTATAAGTTATTAATTACTAACGACTCACCCTCGCCTCGCTCGGGTTCGTCCCAAGGTTGCTTTCACTTTCTCTCTTTCACAACTTTCATCCCAATTTTCACGGGATGATTTCCGGGATAAAAACTATCCTATGTCCTTCCCAGGGTCTCAAACTATCTTCTTACCAAATTTCATCTAAATAGGTTCAGTAATTTCGGAGCCTATTCGGTATAAACAAACAAATCTTTCCTCTTTATAATTAATATACAATTAGTATAGACTATATAGATAAGTTAGGGCAGTAGTAGCCGAGAGGTAACGCATTTCCCCCTCAGTGTGCGTTCACCTTATCGTGGTAGCGGGAGGGGGAGTGGCTCAGGAGCGTCCGGCAATCCAGCCGGGCGCGAAGCCAAGACACACCGGGAGGCGGTGGGCGGTGTGCCATGCGAGTTGCTCCTGGTGCTTCTCTGATACCAGAGTGGACTGTTGGAGCAATCCCATGGTTGTTGTGGTTAACGCGTTTAATACGAAACTAAATAAAGTGCGTTCAAAACCTGGTAAGGAGTATGCCTAAGGTAGCCATAACCGAAAAATCGGTTACGATGAAATTATGTTACATTATTTTGAACGACCGTTTCACCAAAGAGATTTGTGTGTATTCGTCTGTCATTTGTATTACAGAAAAAAAATTACAGGTACTTTACTCTATTACCAGAAATTACTATACTTAAAAGAAAACCGACTTAAAAAATACTAAAAAAATCATTTACTATAGATATGTACCTAATCAGATATTTCTGAAATCGGTGCCAGCCGATACAAATCAAAGCAAGTCAATTTCGATACGTATGAATATATCACAAATTGACGTATAATATTTTAACTATAGAGTTCATACCTAATCATATTTACCTATTAGATATTCATATCTTAAATCATTGTCAACTGGCAATGACTTCGAAAATATCTGATAAGTAGTTGAAAGCCCACGTTTAGTTATTTTTTACTTTTTTTTTAAGTCGTCTTAATTTTTTTTAATTACTTTTTTTAATCGACTTCCAAAAAGGAGGAGTTCTCAATTCGTCGGAATCTTTTTTTATGTATGTTTACCGATTGTCGAAGAGCGAGCGAAATCGATCGAGCGGTTTTTAAAAAATCAACAATAAATATTTTTTTAAATGAATTGTTTAATCGAATATGTTATTAAAAAACTTTCTTCTTACAATATATTAAGTTTACAATAAAAATTGAAAAATAAAACTAAAAAACTGACTTCCAGGTACTAAAATGTAAAAAATAACTAAACGGGTTTTCATTTAAAATAGATACCTAATCAGCTAGTTTCGAAGTCGGTGCCAGCCGACAATATTTTAAGATATGAATATCTAATAGGTAAATATGTATTTTACGTATCAAAATATATTAAGATTTGCTTTGCATCAGCATTTGCATAAAATTTTGTATGTTTGTTTGGAAGCCCTAATAGATTATATATTATGTGAAAATTTTGCAGTTCCAATAATATTACATACATACATGTCGAATCTATATCGTCCTTTTTTTTGAAGTCGGTGAAAATATAAATATTTTTATATTATTGGAAATTATGTCAAAAATACAGAATATATTTTTTTGGCGACATGTTTGGCTGTTTGTAGTGACTCTACTTGCTGTGCCAGCGGTCACGTGTTCGAATCCCGTTGGGGGCCCCTTTTATTTGTGTAATGTACACGAACGTTTGTACTCCAGTCATGGGTGTTTATATATTTTATAACATGTATGTATTTTAAAGTTATATTCATGTGTAGTGTGTCAACTATGTGGTATCCATAACAGAAGCCTCGTAGCTTACCATGGAACTAGATGGTGCTGTGTGTTAATAAACCAACATTTATATTGATTTATAACGCCCTAAGAGGAAAAAAAAATTAAACACATATTCATAGATCTAGAAACCTTTTTCGTCACAACAATATACACATTTTACATCCATGGGTATAATATAATAAATTTTAATTTATCGGTTTACTTCCACTGTTTTTAGATTAAAATTATCATGCACATGGAGATTTTTGGTTTTCATTTCGTTAACCACATACATACTTACTTACAACATTACAAAATAATGCGCTTATGACTGAACCCATTTTGATAAGACTTTTCAGAATTCATTTAAATGAAGTTACACACGTATGTTTTGCTTTATCTATATATATAATAAAATTGTAACTGATTCGAATCTGTTCATCACACTTTTTGGAAAATCTTATTGAAATAGTCATTATTACCGACACAGAGGCGGAATCTATAGTTTTTAGAATTTTTCTCTGTCTGTCTCTCAACGTATTACGAGAAAATCACTGGACGGATTTTGATGAAATTTGGTATGATGATAGCTGGGTATGCGGGTCAACATATAGGATACTTTTCACTGTTGGAAAATATGTCATCTCTGAGAAGTCTGTACTAAACGTTAAATCCGACCAAGGAACGTACCCGAGCGGACCGAGGGTGAGTCGCTAGTCTGTCATAAAACACGACATCACATCCTACCATACTTATGTGTATTACAAAAATTTCACACGTGCATGTTATTACTTAAAAGACCAAAAAACATTTCGTAGCACATAAAATATATCGATGTTATTTCCACTAACGTACGTACAGACAAAATTATAATTATATAACAAAAAACATTTATTACACTGTCACTACAGTACCTTATGCTATGTAAGTAAACGACACTACTCGAGGCACTATGATTTATTCGGTTTTATTCATTTTACATGTTGATATCATTCATAAATCACTTTTCTTGTAAAAAAGCGCTATTTATAGGGTTGTATTCTAATACATTAGAGCTATGT